TGTCATCATCCAGGCACCGCCGCAGCCAATTCCCAGGAGAATGTTGAGCATAGGACCCCCAAAACAAGCGGACCTAAATGCAATTGTCAGTGATGAAAAACAGGATTTAGGGTTGCTTCACTTACAGTGCCATGACCGGGTACCCGAGACGGGCGACGGTGATGTCCGCGATAAGGTCGCCGACGCTGTTACCAGCCGCAAAGACGGTGAGGCCGAGAAGTGCCTCGGAGATGCCCAGAATAACACCAACCGCCTTGAGTACGCCGACGACTTCTCCAGCAATTGTGGATATCCACGCAATACTGATGATGAAACCAAGGAAGCAAAGCAGGAAGTGGTATTTCGGCTTCCGGTCAGGACTCGTTGTGAGGAGCAAGATGCCGAGCAAGATCGTCGACCCAAGCAATGAGATAAGGGACATCCTGACAAGAACCTTGCCAGGCTGCTCTAGGTCCTCATACATGTTTGCCCACAGGATCGCAACAGAGAATAGAGGCCCGGTGAACAGCTGAAGAGCAACGAGCCATCGATTCCAACCGCCGTTGAGCTCTTCGTCCACGGTGGTGCCCAGGTCGCTTTCTGGTGACGGATCGGCCGGGGCGTGCTTGACAACCGGCGGAAACGAGAGCCCTTCGCTAGGGCGATGTCCATCCACCATAGACCGCGTAGCCCCAGGTGAGTGAACGGCGATGAGTGCCGGCGACATCATCGGAGAGGACCTTGCAGTATTAGATCGAGACCTGGACCGCGAATTCCTCCGGTAACGTTGCCACTCAGTCTCCTGCTCGATCGGAATGCTATTTTCGGCAATTATGGGCGGTGTTTGGTGTCCCGAAGCGCCTCGGGACGGGCCACCAATCGGCTCATCGTCCAGATCAACTGGTCCATCTGTTTCCGAGACTGGTAGGGTAATGACTAAGAGTAGGATACTGGGCACAGATATCATGCTGACCAGTTTGTCCCAATGCGACTTCTCGCTCCATCCCTGGAGCGTGGGGAAGAGAGTTGCATGCACCACTTCGGGCGGCGGCAGAACTGCATAAGGCCACCATTTCACCGGCCTCGTATTAGGGATCACAGGCAACGGTGGAATTGGTGCTTCCAAGCGGGCGATGCCGGGCGGCGGGAGAAAAAATTCTGACCTGTCGTTCTGTGGGTTGGGTGTTAAAACCATGGGAGAATCCGTGAAGAAGGCAGGGAAGGGCGAAGTCGGAGAAGATCGCTCGCTGAGACTAGGACCAGGGCTAGGAATGACCAGCTGGGGCAATCGCGGCGTGAGACTGGAGCCGCTTGGTTCGCCAGTGACATCAGTTCGTGGGGCGCCGGGATCGATAGGAGGTGGTGCGAGATTGCCCCCGATCTGGTAAGCCGGCGAAGGGCTTCTATTCCTTCCCTGCCCAGCGGGCGTGGATGCGCCGCTGGTACTTTGCGGTAACTCCTGTAAAGGTGGTGGAAGGTTGAATGAAGGTGGCACAGCGCCAGTCGACAAGGCACGATTCCTGTTGACGGCTTCACCTTGGCCAAGCGCAACGGTATGTCGTGAAGAATCCAGTTGCAAGCCGGCAGCAGATACGTTGTCACTCTGAACTCCATCAATGCGGTGCTCGGAGTCTGAGTACGCTCGCGTGTGGCCGTGGCCGCGGATGGGTCCCATTCTAAGATTGCTCTCCTTTTGCAATTGAGCGAGAGCCGACCTGAACTCTAGGGCGCCGACCAGACTGGGTCGAATGGGTGTAATGGTCGTGCTCCGTCTGCCTCGCGGTCGAAGGACCCGCATACTGCTCGCCATTTCAGCAGCAACCTGCCGGCCTCTAGCACCATCGTCATCCTCTTCATTGGATACTTGATCCACGTCGGCCTCCTCGCCCTCGACTTGAATGCGCGGGCCGGCTTCGAGAGCACTGATATCGGCATGACTGGCCCTGCCAGGTCCGCCGCCGCCGGCATCATGATCATCCGGGTCGTCGCGGTAAGGTTCATCGGCCAGCTCATCGTTGGCGTGACCGACGCTGCCATAGACATGGGTCCGTGCTGCATAATCCCTTGCTAGTCTCCGCTTGCGCCTGTTGGAGTACCAATGCCAGGTGACCACGGTGAAGACATAGAAGATGTAGTAGACAATCATGACGATGCACTCCCAAAGGTGCAAATGGCCGTCAGCAAGAAAGCACATGGTGAAGATGACGGCCACGATGAAGAAACAAATGTCTCGAACGTAGGTCCTCCTACCAACCTTGAACTCTCTGACAAGTGCCATGGAGCCCGCGACGACCGCCGTGATGAAGCTGGCGGCGCCAATGAGCTCTCCGACGGCCATGCTAGCACTGTTAGAGCCCATGGCAGCAAAGGTGCTAAAGACATCGGGGGAGCCATTGCCAAGCGCGAGAAAGGTCACGCCAGCCAAGCTCTGGCTCAGGCCAAGGATGTTTGAAATGGTGCTGAGGTTGACACTGAAGAAGTCGCTGGCGGCAATGCCAATGGTGGTGAAGAGCATGCCGAGCCAGGCCACAAGTATCATGAATGCAATGCCGTGATTGTGGTGAAGGTCGCAATAGTACAGCGTCAGGTAGGAAAGGAGACCAGCCTCGTCATCTTGGCAATTGGCCTTGACGAAGGCGCATTGATTGACGGCATTGCGAACCTCTCGGCATTCTGGAGTGGCGCTGGAGCTCCTGGCGAACAGTAGCGAGGGGTCTTGGTCTTCGGTGAGCGAGTCGCGCAGGCCAATGCGCCGATTGTACCGAGTCGCGACAAGTGAGTAGGCCGCGAAGCAGCTGAGGAAGAGAACGGTGGTGTAGAAGGGCCGCAAGCTGATGTTGCTCCCTCGCGGGAGCCTGATCTTGGGTTTGGGGGCACCCATAGTCTGACGTTGTCGTCGGGGTTAAGAAGGAGGTGTGGCGGCTGTGTCCTGCATCGTGTGGAAAGGTACGGCTTGTGGAAAGCTTACCGGCGGGTCGGCAGGTGCTGAATACGGTAAGTGATAAGTAATGGCGGAGTCGCCAGTAAGGGAATTGAAGACAGGTCTGGGCACCCGAGAAAAAGGGCAAATGTTGTGGCACCTCACGCTGAAGATTTGCTGCAGCGAACGATGAGAACGGATAGAATGGTAGTTGTAGCCACCAACTTGGAAATGAGACTCATGGCGTCTGGGGGTCCCTCCCTTAACTCGGTGCCTGGGTCTGATTTGGTTTGGCTTGTGTGGTGGCGGTCGGTGGTTCAGTCGTGGTCTGTCCGCAGCAGATCGATCGTCTGTGACCAGACATGACATGACATGTTTGGAGGCAGCCGGGACTCGATGCGGTGCCACTTCCAGAAAGAACGACCCGCGCGCGGTCGCGCGCGCACTTACCACACGTTGCGCCTTCTCTTCCAGTTACACCTTCTACGTCCATCACAGACAGAGTTTCTTGCCCGGATATCTGCCAGAATCCGCAGTGTGAGCATGCGGGGCGTCAGCTGTGGCTTTACCTTCCTTGCCTTGGCACAGCTTTCTTTCCCTCTGAGACGCGTGTGACGGGTGATGACGGACGTGGCAGTGCTTATCAAGCCTCAAGCCTCGGAAGGTGCGATAAGCGCGATTGCCCCGCGACAGAGACACGTGCAGAGAGTGTATTGACGCCTTGTATATCAGGCTTCAAGACATTGTTTACTTTCTCCACAGTAGAGCACCGCTCCAAACACGACCCTGGCGACGTGGATGCGACTGCACAAACAACCCGATGAGGCTTTGTAATTGCGGTCAACCACGATACCGACAATACTGACCGACAGCATCGAAACGCAGCCCAGCATGCCGCGCGTCGCACAAGTACCGCGACCAGGGAACTCGAGGGCTGCTTCGAGCACCGCCTCACCCTACAAGAATTCGCCCATCAAGTGCGTTGTTGTGGAGCCATGTTTACTTGGGCCACCGTAACTGACCGATCACCGCCCAGGATCCCGCTGAACGACGATGCTTCGGAGAAGGCCCAGCGCTTGCACTCGAGGCAGGCACTGCATGAGAGACAGATCAATCAGCTCAAGGCCGCTGCTGCCGGTACGCCTGGGCGCAAAGGCAGCGTCAGCCTCGACAACATTGAGAATGCGTCCCCAGGCTCGGATCCACGAACGCCCCGCGGTCGCGCCAGCCGCGGGCGTGTCCCCGACGACGACGAAGATGAGGGCTTCGTGGTGGGCGGGAGTGCGGTGACGCCTATGAAGCGAGTGCCCATCCTAGCCAACTTTGAGGAATGGATGAAGATGGCTACCGACAACAAGATCAATGCCGCCAACTCGTGGAATTTTGCCCTGATCGACTATTTTCACGACATGTCGCTGTTGAAAGAAGGCGACGGCGTCAACTTTCAAAAAGCCAGCTGCACCCTCGACGGCTGCGTCAAGATCTACACCAGCCGAGTTGACAGTGTTGCGACTGAGACCGGCAAGCTGCTCAGCGGCCTCGCCGACAGCAATAACAAGAAGAAGGACAGGGAAGGCGAAGATGGCGAGGGCGATGAGAGCGAGGAGGAGCTTGACGAAGACGGCAATGTCAAGAAGAAGGCCAAGAGGAAAACACAACGGTCCTCTGAGGCTACATTGGCCCCATCCTTCGCCTCTTTGCAACTGAAGAAGTTTGAGCTTGAGTTCGCCGTCGACCCCTTGTTCAAGAAGGCGTCTGCCGATTTCGACGAAGGTGGCGCCAAGGGTCTACTTCTCAACCACCTCATGATTGATTCGCAAGGTCGCATTGTGTTCGACAGCAGCGACGATGTTGGTGACGCACAGACATCCAAGAGTCGCAAGCAGGATGAAGAGGCAGAGGACGACGATGCGGATGACACGCATCAGGCTTCCTTGGTAGATGGCACGGACGACGTGGAGCCTGAGGAGGACAATACGGATGTTCAGATCGATCTCGGTGCACTTGGTGCCAGATTTTTCCCTGACCTTGGTCGCCTTGACGAACTCGATGTCTGCCCGTCACTCAAATCCTTCGATCTTGGCAATCCATCAGGCTCGCTTGACATTCCATTCTTGAAGGCTCCTGAGGACTGGCGGGATCAGAATAAGGAAGAAACCCCAGGCCTGGATCTCGGAGACACTTCCGGCATGTTCATTGATGGGGACAATGCAGCCGGGTTCGACGATGACGATCTTGGTCTAGGTGCCTTCGATATGGGCGCGGATGTCGCATTCGGCGAGGGTGGTGAGGCATGGGCCAGGGAGGCCGCACTCGAGCCTCAAATGCGAGTTTTCAATGCTGGTGAGGGTGATGAAGAGGGTGGCATGATCGACCAGGCGGGAGGCGACTATGTTGTCTCGATGAATCACGCACAGAAGGCGGACAAGATGCACGAGGACATTCTCGGGTATTTCGACCAGGCATTACAGAAGAATTGGTCGAGTGCTGAGCACTGGAGGATACGAAAGATCAAAGACGCCGACAAGCCTATCGGGCCCGCCAGGACGCGCAAAGAGAAAGCGCCGTTCGAGGTCGACTTCTCGGCGCCCCTGGACCAGAGCATCGCTGATGCCCTCTACACACAAGCGGCCAGCAACTCCGTTATTTCCATGCCCAAAAAGGATTGGAAGACCAAGTCTCGCAACCTGCTTCCAGATGACAAGCACTTCAACTCCAAGTCCTTGCTAAACCTATTCCTTAAGCCGAAAGCCCGACTCAGCAATCGCCGCATCGGCGGCGGTTTCGCCAACTCTTATCAGGACCGGGACGTTCCGGCCGGGGAGATGGACGAAGCATTCTGGGCACAACAGAAAGAGCCTCTGAACGCGCTGGGGGGTGAGACGGAGCTACCCCAGGGAGATTACGACGCGAATTTCTTCCAGGACGACGCTCTTCCCTTCGCCGGCGGTATGGACGATGACGATGACATGGAATTCGCGGACGCCCGCGAACACTTCTCGCCCGGAGCCGAAGGCGACGCTGGCATGACGGAGGGTGTCGGTCTGACAGCGATCCTCAATGGCGAGACGATGGCGAACACGCTGGGAGCGTTTGGCACGACGCTCGTAACGTCCACACGGCGCATTCGACCAGACTACGTTCAGTATGCCCGTACGGCGAAGAAGGTTGATGTGAGGCGGTTGAAGGAGGAGATTTGGAAGGGCATGCGCCTGGACAAGTTGGAGGCGGTAAGTTACCAACAGCTATGTCCGTTCGAGGATTCCACTGATACTGATTTGTTCGAGCAGGACGTCGATTCATCCCAGTTGATGACGCCGCCACCCTCCTCTGAGGCGCCCAGTGATGAGCAAGGAAAAGACAAGATGCTCAAGTTCACCGAGGTCATGAATGACCTGCAGACGGTGTATCCCAAGCCGATGATGGAGGACATTTCTACAAGCTATTGCTTCATTTGTCTTCTCCATCTCGCTAACGAAAAGGGACTCGTCATCGAGAAAACGGCACAGCTGAACGAGTTGGAAATCCGGAAGGACTGGACAGCAGAAATTGCGGCGGGCGGCGAGTAACTACGTTGAATGCGCAGAAATGTTTTTATCAGGCAAGGGCGTGTAGAGCATCGAATCACGGAAATTGGGTTTGGGCGGGTTTGTCGGTCCCGAAATGACTTCATCGTATGTATACTGGGTGGCACACGGGATCGGGGCATCTCGTATGATGAGAATGGGCGACGGTAATGAATATGCGTCCACACGTGTCGCGTTTCGCGAGTCAAGGCAGAAGTCATGAGTGGTCGTTCAGTTCTGGCAAACGTGTGGGATTCTCATGGCCAGCAGTGCAGCAAGAATGATCTGTAACCAAGAAGTCTGGTTCAGAGTCTCACTCCGAGCAGGGCTGGCTTCGATCTTCAGCAATCAGCGTATGCCCAGAATTAGGAGTAAGCACAGCCGATTCAGCCTTTGAAATTTGGATATTGATTAAACCTGTTTAGCATGGGAGTATACAGTACACTGCCAAGCCCATTCGTCCATATCATCTGTCGGCATGTCGTGTGATGAGGCCAGGAGCAGCCTTCGCAACCAGTTAAAGGGTACATGACGGCCATACAGGCTCATGCAGATATCCTATGTCCTTCCTTGACTTGCGCACCTATCGAGCGTGGACTAGCCGCCTCAATCTAGGCATCTGAAGTCAGACATGGACGCTCCTTGGATTCAGAAACGTGTTATTTGCCTGCTGCTAAAGCATCCTTGAAACACTGCAAATGTGTGAAGGAAGTGAAGAGGCGAACGTGGTGTTTATGCACAAAGGTTGAATCGTCAGATGCCCGACGTCACAGCCTCCGCCATTTGATCCAAGACTTAGTGATTGTCGCAGCCCACGAAGTACCAGTTTAGGGGTACCTGGAGACGGTGAGTATCCACAAGAGCTCAAGTATTTTGCACAAGGTACAAATATGTTACCTTGGGGGATTGATGTATTTTCTTGGTTACTTCTTCTCTAGTATGGAGGAAGTCTGGCTCTTTTGTGCTAGGCAGATGTGACCTGAGAGCCTTAAGTTGTGAACCTCCTGAGGTCACTGGCTATTGAGCCAACTCCACACGCTTGATTTGAGTTGTGGATTGAGCCACATGTGACACAGTCATCCAGATGTACTTGAACAGACGTACCGCCTCCAGTTGGTTAATGGCAGCCAACTACCATATCAGCTTGGAAAGAACACTCACCATGTGCAAGCAAGTCTTTACTTGTCTTTGAATCCCCTCACGCATGCTTCATGGAGTCATAGCAAATCGGATGCCGCGCTGGAACCGACAGTGGTATGGTCAGGGCGTCAGATTTCTCTCAAATAACCAGGTCTCGTGTTGGTACCTAGGGTCCACTGATTAAGATGATAAATAGCGCGACATTCCCTGTTGCACAGGCCTATGTATTTTTACCTATTTTGCTAGAACGTGCCATTAGGAAGAAGTCCTGGTCATGATGATTCTCTCAACCAAGCCCTCGAAGCTTGTGGAGTATTGCTAGTTAGTATGCTGGCGTCTGAAAGGATTCTAGCAAGGCTCTTTCACAGATGATGATCAAGTCAGCTGTTCAGCACCAAACGCTGTCTGTGTAGCAGAAGGGTCAAGACGTGTGCTGGTGGTAAAAGCTGTAGCCAGAACAAGCAATACAACATCATAAAATCATCAACAGAAAGCATTCCTAGGAGACTTCAACACTTCATATCCGACTTAGACGAGCGTTTCCCGGCCTGCTGGCTTGGTCTGATGGACACTGATCAGTGCTCCCTTTCTACTCTCTGTTTCACAGACGAGCAGAGTGACATGCACCAGGAGCGACCAACGTGGAGTCTTGAGGCTGGCTCAAGTAGGCTAGTCCGGCCCGAGATGCTGAGGTTGTCGTGCCGCCTGGCCAGACCAGGCCTTGTGACCAGGATCAGCAAGCAGCCTTTGTGATAGGCTGAAGGAGGATTTGCTCCGGCCGACCGCCACACCGTTCAGGCTTACGCACGATATCAGTTGCGATTCGTACCAATAGTTACCTCCCCAGCTCAAATTGGACGGGAGGGTAAATAGGCGAGGCAAGGGAGAGCAGGGTGGGAGGTGGCTCACGCGAACCGGTTTATGGCAGACGCCAAGAAGGGTCTTTCCGCCATGGACCCTGAATGCCTCCTCTGTGACGTAGTGGATGTCGCATACCGGGTCACGCTCGCCTTGGGTTGGCTGGGGAAGAATCGATCTTGAGGGGCGAAATGCAACTGTAGAGCAGGCACGAATGGCTGCCGCGAGGCGTGCGTGGGCTCAGGGGGCCTCGTCTTGCCAAACCTGCCTCTTGCTTGCCCTGGACCCCGTGCGTGGCTCCTGCTCCTCAGATCTATCGCTGTGAGGAGTCTTCAGGGTCCATCTCGCAGGGCCCTTGCTTCACGGCTTGAAGGGACCAGCGTTAGTATCCGAGCCATGATGGCGACTCCGCAGGTTTGTGTCCGTTCACTTCCCTCCATCACCATCAACCTGATCAAACATCTCACCCCGACACTTGTGGCTCTAGAGGCTATCATTATGATAATTCTGCACATCGGCAGTCCTTTTTTTTTCCAACACGTTCATGATGGAGCACGTCCCCGTGTTCGTGCATTTTTATTCCCCTGTCCATCAACCCTAGACCTGTATTCCCTTCCCTGCCTCGAACCAGAAGTTCTCCCATGAAAAATAATCATAACATCAACGCCCGACGAAAATTCCTCCGCGCGCGCCAACCTGACGAACCTTTCCGGTAGCACGAAAGAAGCCCAACGCATATGCCAAATCATGAGGGTATTCAAGTACACGCCAAGTCAGTCCGTCGAGTCGAGTCGAGTCAAACCATTCGTCCCACCCAAGCAAACCGCAAGACAAATTCATCGGCCACGTACGTGGCAGCATCGTCGTGGTGCCGCACCACAGAAAAAAAAAACAATCCCCAACCAAGGACGCAAGACTTTACACAGTCCGTCCGTCATTCTAGGACAAACAGTATCGTGTTCAACTCTCACGACGGCCAACGATCTCCCCTGCCCTGAGCAACGCACTCATACCGTCTAGGTTTGGATCCGCCTTCGCTGGACCGATAACGCCTTCATGGACGCTGATGGATGTGCGTGACGATGTTGTTGATGCATCTGTGGCTCCCGATGAGCCGGATGATGAGTATTTGACAAAGGAGGTGGACCTCGTTGGTCTGACCAGTATTAGCCTACGACTCAGACAACTTCAGACAACAGACATACCAATTGTAACGCCCATGCACCGGGTCCTGGGGCATGTGTCGCAGAGAAGACATCATG